TATCACTGGCCTGTCTCGGACGATCCAAGCCGGCCCCTATTTAAAGGAGAGTATTCTATAAGCGCTGTTTTTAAACCTTTTGTTATCTGAAATGCATGTCCCGTGTGTGGCGGGCCGGGTGGGAGAAGGCCGGGAGGGTCGCTGGGGCCCTGACCCCCAGCCCAGAGCTCCCGGATGGAAATCGACTTTTCATATCTTCCTCCTGAAATGAATTCTGTTTTAATCGGAATAAATTTTGTTCCTAAACACCGTGGCCTGCTCTGGGGTGTTTCCCGTTGCCAGCTGCTGTGGAGGGTGGGCGTGTGGTGGGGGGGTCTGGGTCACGTCCTCTGTGCTTCCCACAAGCCCCGAAGGGGTGGGCACCTGCCGGGCGGAGGGGAGTCAGGGCTTGAACCCTCAGACCAATGTAGGGGCACGGGGTGCTTGGGCCCCCACCGGGCAGGGGTCCAGTCTCAGGCCTCCAGGGACTCAGCAGGGCCTGGTCCCCGACCTCGGTCCTCCCCTGCGGGCTGGCTCTAACTCCCGCCTCCGGAGGGGCAGGTGGGTGTCACGCCGCCCGTGTCCAGCAGGTGGCGCCCCAGACCTCTCGGCCCGGAGTCCTGGCCCTCGTCAGCCCGTTGGGGCAGGGACAGCATGGCCCTGGCTACAGACCCCTCGGGCCTTGCCGCCGACCCCAGCCTGTCAGGCAGCGCCCCAGTGCCCGCTGCGGCACTCGCAGGGCCTAGAGCCGAGTTCCTGCCCAGGCCGCGCCCACGTGGCCGGCCCTCGGGCTGCGCAGCCCCTCCTGGGACAGGCTTCCCAGTGCTGTTTTCCGCGTGGGAAGCGGAGGCCCCGGGGTCCTGAAGGGCCTCACCCACGGCGGGATGGGATCCTGTGCAAGCCCAGGCCTCCCCGCTCCGCCCGGACACTTCCTCCTCCATGTTTCCCACAGGCCCCGGAGGGGGCGCAGGGCAGAGGGGAGTCGGCCCCCACTGTGGGGTGCAGGGCTTGAACCCTCAGACCAGTGTAGGGGCACGGGGTGCTCGGGCCCCGCCAGGCAGGGGTCCAGTCGGAGGCTGTCCGGGACTTGGGAGTCGCTGAGCCGGGCTCTCTGGGGCCTGCCTTCTACTTCCTGGTCTAGGCTGGGGTGTCTGGACACAGGTCGGAGACAGGAAGCTGCCTGGGGGCGGCCCTGGGGGTCCCCCTATGCGGAGGTGAAGGCAGGGCTGGCAGGGGGGCGGCACTGTGGCTCAGCCCTGGCACTTCCTGGCTGAAACAGGACGTGGGGGCGGGGCGGCAGACCGCGCTGTGCAGTGCTGGATGGCTGTGGGGGGACCTGGGTTCGTGTCCCCGGACCTCCCTGCACACACGGGGGGACCCAGGCCTGCTGAGGCTGCGGTGTGCACTCGGTCTCTCTCTCACGAGAGAAAGAGACTTCAAAGGAGGAGGCGGGAAGAGCAAGCAGGCTCAAGGCACGCCAATGTCACCGCCATGGGCCTCTGCCCCGTCCCCGGTGCTCTCTGGGCCAGAACGGGCCTGTAATTTACCAAAGTGTACAGCCCAGCCCCCCGGACCGGGGGAGGCGGATTCAGCAACGAAAGAGAAAGAGACTCTTCGAGAGACTTTTGCTACAGGGCACGTGCACTCGCTGGGGAGACAGACAGACAGCGAGGAATCGCCCCGGGGGGTGGCCTCGCTGCAGCCCCTCCTCCATGCTCCTCGGGATTTTTTAGGAAAGCTATTTATTTAGTTTTATTTATTATTATTTTTATTTGACCAGAGAGAGACAGACAGACAGAGAAAGGGAAAGCGAGAAAGCAAGCTGCCAGGTCCAGGCCTTGAACCGCAGTCAGTCATGTGGGAGTCCAGTGCCTTAACCACCACGCCACCAGCCAGCCCCCTCTCTGGAATTTGGGCATACAGGTGCACGCACGTGGTCTGAGTTGGGAGCCGCCCAGTCCAGGGCTCAAACCACGGTCAGCCACGTGGGAGTCCAGCACCTTACCCACTAAGCGCCGGACCCTGAGTGGCCTCTGTGAGGGAGTCAGGGAGGGGCGCTCTGCGCAGTGGGCCCACGTGGGAGGTTCAGGGCCCATGTCGGAGACCTCCCCGAGCGTGCGGGGCTGTGCCCACGACCCGGGGCTGGCGGAGGCTGAGGGTGGATGGCGGCGGAGCCCCATCGGGGAGGCTGTGCCTGTCTCCGTGTCCCTCACACACAGTAACTAAACAGGAAGGAGAACTTGCCGGAGGGCCGGTGGCTGGGCTGTAGCAGGGGTGCCCGGCCTCCGGGAGGCCTCCAGGCATGCCTCGGGGCCTCCTGTGCGCACCCAGTGCGTGAGGCTGGCTGAGACCCGGACCGCTGTCTCCTCCCTAAACAAACAAAAGCTTCAGCCGAGCTGGTGGGGGGTGACCTGCACACGCACCTGGCCAGGCCCTCTCAGCTCGGTACGGGCCACCAGCCAGACACACGTGTTGTCACAAAAGCAGGTTCCAGGGCCAGCAGGTGGCATGGACTCCCACGTGGCTGACTGCAGTTCGAGTCCCGGACCTGGCGGCTTGAAAGTCACGCTGAGTGCACGCCCAGATCCTGAGAGGAGACTGGAGGAGGGATTGCAGCATGGCCAGCCCCCCAGGGGGTGATTTCTCGCTTTCTCTCTCTCTCTCTGTGTCTCTGTCTCTGGCGAGCGCTCGTGCCCTATGGCAAGAACCTTAAAAAAACAAAGTTTCACACCCACCCAGGATCTCATCCCGGTATCCTTGAAGGAGCGAGTGTGACAAATGTCCAGACGGTGCCTGGCCCGGGTCGGAGGTGGTGCTGCCTGGGGGAACTTAGAGGGCTTTGCTCTCAAGGGGCTGAAGTGAGCAGAGCCCAGGCCCCGGGGCACCCAGGGAGCAGGCATTTCCTCTGAGGCAGCGAGTCTGACGGGGTGCCCTGGGCTACCTGGAATAGGCCCTGAGCAGGGCCCGGGTGCACCCTCCCAGGCCCGTGACTCATCCGCCTTCCGTCTTGCAGCCTCCCAGCCTCCCGAAGTCTGCTGCTCTTCTGTCCTGGGCAAGAGAGTCACCCACATCTTGGGGAGTCCCCTCCTCATGGTCACCATCAGCGGAGGTGGGCAGGGCAGCGCCTGCGGTGGCCCCAGTGCCCCAGCAGGAACCCCATCACACTCCGATGTACCCCTCATCTCCAATCAGCGGCAGAGGAAGCTGCGTGTCGGTGCCAGGCCACGTGGCCCCTCGATGGTCCACCTGGAAGCGTGGACTCTGTGGCCACCAGCGCCTGTGTGACCCTGGCCACATCGCTCACCCTCTCTAAGCCTTGCTAGTGCCTTCTCTGTGAGGGTCCAGGGACCCCCAATAGCTTGTGCTTGGGGGTAGGAAGTTGATCCAGAACCTTCTAGAAACATCTAGAACCTCTCAGAAGGTTGGACACCCAACATGGAGAAGACCCGACCTGCTGGACTGGACACAGCGGCCCCTTGGGTTGTGTCCTCGTTGTACCTCCAGGGCCCGGGGGTCCGAGGGCACGGTCTTGTTCAACAATGCCCCGACCCCCACGTTCAGCTCCTAACATCCCTGTAGACCTTGTGCGACAAACCCTTCCAGGCCCAGGTGCCACCTGTCATCCTTTTTAACTTGCTGGAGGGTACCTGTACTCCCCGGGGCACGAGCGAGAGGGCAGTGGGGTCCCCAGCAGGCCTCCCCCATGGCCATGCCTCTCCTTCCCCCCGGGACTTCGGACATGCTCGCCCCTCGTGTCTCTCCAGCCGCCGGGCCTGGACTCGCCACGCTGTCAACCTCCGGGATCCAGCTGCCTCCCCCAGACCGACCGCCCCGCCTCTTGTCCCCTGAACCCTTCGAGCCTCTATTCAAAGCCGCAACCCAGGCCCACCCTGACCTCTTTGATTTATTTTTATTTCAGAATTTATTGCTATCTAACAGGGTCCGATAGGACCCTGTTTTTTAAAGGATTTTGACGTAAGGTTTGTGTTCCCAACAGAGACAGAGAGACAGACTGAGAGACAGAGAGGGAAGGTGAGAAATCACCCCCAAGGGGAGATGGTCACCCCGTCATCCTTTCTCCTCCAGTCTCCTCTCAGACTTTGGGCATGCACACACACACGCACCTGGTGTGATTTTTAAGCTGCTGGGTCCGGGACTTGAACTACAGTCAGCCATGTAGAAGTCCGGCTTCTTAACCACCATGCTACCCACCAGGCCCTGGCTCAAATGTTTATTTATTTAAAATTATTATTATAATTATTATTATTAAAGAATTGTTTAATTTTACTTCACTTTATTTATTTATTTATCATTTGGCCAGAGAGGGACAGAGTGAGAGAGAGAGGGAACGTGAGACAGCCGGCCTCCAGGTCCAGGACTGACCGGCAGCCAGCCAGGTGGGAGTCCAGCGTCCCCAACCACCACGCCACCTGCCAACCCCATTATAATTTTATTTTAGGTTTGCTATAGGGCACATGCGCTCACCAGAGACAGAGCGAACGTGAGAAAGCGAGCTGTAGGTTCAGGACTCGAACCACCCACCAACCATGTGGGAGTCCAGCGCCTTAAGCACAGGCCTCCTGCTGCCCCCGGGCTCAGGCATTTTAAACACTGTTTACTGTCATCCTTCTCCAGAGCCTCGCCCAAACTTGCTGCAGGGGCCTCTGCAGGGTGAAGGAACAGCCTCCCCCAAAGCTGCCCGGGTGGTTCAGACTCAGCCCGGGGGTGCTGGGCGCCCAGAGCCCGTCTGCACGTCTGTGTGCCGGGCGATGCCGGGAGCACGAGCCGTGTCCGGAAGCACCTAGCCCGGGTCGGCCGGCCTCGGGAAGGGCCACGGCCCTGGTGACTGCTCCTGTCCGGCGGAGAAAGGGGACAGCTGGGGGGAGGGTGGCTCAGAGGAGCGGGGCGCGGGGAAGGCCGCCCTTCTTCAGAATGAGGAAGGAGGGCCAGGGGCCACCGCGCGGCGGTTGGTCGGGCTGCCGGCCGGCGCCCCCGCAAAAAAACGCGCCCCCTGGCACCTCTGCCAGTCACCCAGTTAGGCCGGGTCGGGGCAGGTCTGCAGGTGGGCGGGGAGCGGCCGCACCTCTCCCTCCTGCCCCCTGGTCTGCGCGCTCGGCCTCGCTGAGACCTGGGCTCCTGCTGCCCCAGGCGGGACAGCCGGGGTTCCCGGGCGGCCCCTGGGGCCCAGGGCATGTGCCGAGGGTCCCCAGGGCCCGCGCCATGTCCCGCTCGCTGACCTGGCGCTGGTGCCCCTGGTGCCTGACGGAGGACGAGAAGGCGGCCGCCAGGATCGACCAGGAGATCAACCGGATCCTCCTGGAGCAGAAGAGGCAGGGGC